ATTTTTCACTATACTTTTGAAAAGAGTACTTTTATATTATTTTAATTTTTATGAACTGGGCACAATTGGCATAGGGAATTGGGACATTTGGCAAGAGAGAATAATCTTTTCTCTCCTGCAATCACGTTTTGCTCTCAGAAGGAGCCAAGGATGCAGGAGGATAAAAACACCTGAGTGGCTGAGGGCATCCATTACAGGAACCCTTTGTGACATTGGATGAGTTTCAGTATATGCTCTGTGTGAACAAAGACATTAAGCTATGTAAAGATGGTTCATGAATTCACACAATGTGTAACCATACGTGTGTTGTGTTCGACGTTCTATGTTTGAAAGAAAGCACGGTTTAGCCCAGTTTATAAACCAAGCCTGAGACTCATCTCTATTCTAATAAGTGTTACCTCTAATTTAAGTTTCCCTGAATTTTCTTTATGTTTAGAAAGTGCCTTTTTCTACATGTACTGACAGTTGCCTCCCAGGATACGCCAAGCTCACGAGAGAGGGAGCACCGGTTTGCTGCTACGACTGTTCTCGGTGTATGGAAGGAACCATCTCCAGACAGGAAGGTAGGTAGCTCAAAAGAAAAGAAGGAGTCCCAAACCAGGCCTGATCCTGCTGAGATCCCAAGTTCCCCCAACTCCGTTAGATGATACTATCTGCCAAGGGACCTAACCTACTAGTAACCTATCAATCTATTTCTCTTTCCAAAGAGAATTTTGTCTGAGGTGTGTATGGGTGTTCCTGAGAACAGGACTCTGGTCTTGGCAATGATTACTGAGCATGTTTTATAAGCATAACAGAAAGGAATTTTATTTATAGGAAATAGAATACAGGCATAGGCAAAACCTAGCAATCATTAAGCACACTGCAGGCAATGTGACAAAGAAGGAACCTAGAATAAACCCTTAATGCTCTCTCTACACCTGACTATCTCTTAAGGACAGTAGGTCATGAGGTGCTTAATGGCAAAGAATGCACTATATATAGAGCGGCTTCTCATGTTTTTCAGATGCAACCCATTGTGAAAAGTGTCCAGATGACCAGCAGTCCAATAAAAGGCAAGATCAATGTGTCCCCAAGATTGTAAGTTTCCTGTCCTATGAAGAAAACTTAGGCCTTATCCTGGCTCTCATTGCCTCTTCTTTGTCTCTAACTACTGCCTTCATTCTGGGAATCTTCATGAAATACCGAGAAACTCCCATAGTCAAAGCCAACAACCGGGACCTTACCTACATTCTTCTGGTCTCCCTCCTGCTTTCTTTCTTGACGTCCCTTCTATTCATTGGTCACCCCAAGAAAGTCACCTGCCTCCTCCGACAAAGCACCTTCAGTGTTGTTTTCTCAGTTGCCGTGTCTTCCTTGCTGGCCAAGACTGTCATGGTGGTGGTGGCCTTTTTGGCCACAAAGCCAGGCAGCAGGATGAGGAAATGCCTGGGGAAAACTCTGGCCAACTCCATTGTTTTGTCCTGCTCTGGGGTTCAGGTGGGCATCTGCATCATATGGCTGGGAATCTCTCCCCCGTTCCCAGATTCTGACCTGCATTCCCAACCAGGGCATATCCTTTTGCAATGTAATGAAGGCTCAATTACCATGTTCTACTCCGTCCTTGGCTACATGGGCTTTCTGGCTGCCATATGCTTCTTGGTGGCTTTTCTAGCCCGAAAGCTGCCAGGGAGCTTCAATGAAGCCAAACTGATTACCTTCAGCATGTTGGTTTTCTGCAGCGTTTGGGTCTCCTTTGTCCCCACCTACCTGAGCACCAAAGGGAAATACATGGTGGCTGTGCAGATCTTCTCCATCCTGGCCTCCATCCTGGGCTTACTGGGCTGCGTTTTCATCCCCAAATGCTACATCATTATCCTGAAACCTCACCTGAACACAAAAGAGTATCTGATGATGAAGGCTGATAAGGCCTTTTAATTTTGGAATCAATTTTTTTTCTATAATTTACTGGTAATTTAAGATAACATCAATTAGCATTAAAGTCCTTTATATGTCAAATCTTCCTTCCTTGCATGTGACTTTGAACTTTAATGACAGAGAAATGAAATGGTTAATTTAAATTCCATAATTATGTTATTTTTAACATAATCAATGAGATATTTATGTACAGTTTAAGAAATGAGACTAAACGTATATGCCAATGATCTTATGTTCACAGTTACTCATCCAAAGTATTCTTCTGTATCAGAAATGGAATAAATACGGCAACATGGTTCTATATTGGGATATCAGATTAAAAATAACAATACAGAGAGGATTAGATGGAATTTATTTGAAGAGGAAAAACAACATTTGCAGTAAAGAATAGACTTTAATATTACTGTAAAACCAATTCAGTACCTGGAAATTTACTGAACAAAATTTAATATTTATTCAAGAATAATCATTCATACTTTTGGGAAAATACAATGGCAGAAATCTTAAGATGGAAAACGTTAAATCTGCCCTGGATAAGAAGAAGAACAACAGTCAAATGAATATTTTGTCTGGTCTCCACTTTCTGTTTCAAATGATTCCAATAAGGATTAAAGATAAAACATTCAATGAGCAGCAAGGACTAATCATTATCCCCGTTTGGTCAAACCAAAGTCTAAAGAATACATTTAGGATTTTGTAAGATGTAAAAGAAATAGGTGGATTGGTTGTATGAAATCTTAAGCTAAACTATCCAATGAGCTGTTTGATTTGAATAACAGGTTGGGTTAAATGGCGATTCAGCTGAGATAGCTCTCCTAGAAGGCTTGCATCCTTGGTTAGGTATGAACAGAAGTATGCAGTCCATAAGAGATGACTCAATTATAAAAAGTGTACTCCTTCTAAGGGAAAGAGTACTAGGAATGGATCTCAACCCTACCAGGAGAGGAGTAGGTAGATGGCCTTGTAGGTACGTAGGGTATGTAGAGGAGTATATCTCTCCCCCCTCACCTTTACAGTCCAAGAAACTAGGGACGGTCCTTTCTGAGATGTTTGCCACACCCCCATTCTTTCTGTGGGCTCAGCTGCTGCTTATCTGATGGTTGTCTAGTCTGCGGCTCTTCCTCCTATCCCCCAAGGTCATTCCCACATGCCATTACAGTTCCCAAGGTTAGGCTTATCTCATTTCATCCATGAAAAGGGACACAAGGATTTCCCAGTTGTAGTTCTACCAGGAACCTGTAGGGAGAAGCACACAAGCACTCCCCAGCCTGGTGAGAGAGATGCAAATGATGGGCACACTCACCCAAGGCATCTATTTGCATCCCACCCCAGTCAGCTGTAGCTATTTGATTGGCATAACAGTGTCCTCAAGTGGCTCGTTTAGCCACATCCTGGCTTTTTCAAGGATGTGCTGACATCCATAAACATCCAGGTTAGCACACCTACATATACACGCATGCACACACA